CTTCCAGGCTGTGCCATTTGTAAGACTCATCAAAGTGGCGACTTCCTTCTACTATTTTTCCCCGCTTCTGTCCACATGCTTCATTTTATTGGCATTCTTATTGGTCGTGATTTTTATTTTACAAATAGCTGCCGGCTCCAACATAGTGGCCATATTTCCAGGATTTATAGGAACGCTATTCACCACCCGAGCAATCTTCCTGGCTGGAACATCCTTAATTAACGGCTGCTGCTGACTGGTCCATTAATTTTGTGTTATCGATTCACTGCCATTGTCCGCCAGCTTCATCTTCCTACCCAGGAAGTATTTCTTTCCGCACATGATCCATGTTCAACATCTTCAACTTCCCAGCTGGACCTTGTTCGATAACAAAAAAGGAGAAAAGGGATTGCATGGGCGAACATTAATCTGGCCAACTTATCGCGTTCCGCCTCCGCTTTTTCACTTGTCTTTTCCGAAGTGTCAATTCTTCCGCCTTTTTATTTTAAACGACAGGATTTCGCGGTGTGGTTCGCTGTCATAATGTCTGCGGCATTGGTGACCATCTACTTGGCCAAATCATCACGTTCGGCCTCTGCTGCTCGAAGCGTTTCTTTAACTCCTTTCCTATGATTTTCCTGCTGCCTGGGTATATTTTCAGCCGCCACCAATTCCCTTTTAAGTTCATGAACTTGATTTTCTAATTCGCGGCAGTTGTCTTCAGCCTCTTTATCCTTTTTCGGCAACGAAGTGTTTGGAGTGTATACATGGAGTGTATAGGGGTAGCAGTCAAGAGTGGTACTGATCAAATAGAGGTGCTTAACGTGTGCATCTCCCCATTGAATAGTTGTACCCTAATTCCGTCCTAGGTAATGACACGTTTAACGACGTAAAGGTGACTGAGGTGCGCGAATTTTTTAACCGGCAATTCATAGAGCACCCCGAGAGTGACAAGGCGAAAAAGTGTGTGTGCTTCGTCGTATTAGAGCCCTCTGAGCCGAGGAGGTTCCACCACAATTTACGAAGGATGATATGGCAGATGTCATTCGAAACGCTAAATCATCCAAAACGTTGGGTCCAGAAGGAATCTCCTGAAGCCTGGAAAATAGGCAGGGTGGTCCCGCTACTGAAGGCATACAAGGATGCCAGCAGAGGTGAATTCTACAGGCCGATTTCCCTTCTGTCTCTAGTAGCAAAGATGCTTGAGTCCTACTCCTCCCTTTGATGAGAAGTAAGTTTCCAGTCCTTCAACATCAACATGGATTCCGGAGGATGCACAGTACAACTACAGCATTACACATCATAACCACCCATGGACTTAACCAGAACAGGCCTGCGACAGAACAGTTTTAGTGGCTCTTGACTTATCGAATGCCTTCGATACTGTCAATCACGCCAATCTGTTTGAGAATATAGAGAAGACGAATCTCCGACCGTGTTTGAAACATTGAATATCAATTACGTGATCGCCAGTCATATGTAGAATTCAGAAAAAAGAAGTCTAAAAGCCGTAGAGTAAAACAGGAAGTTACCCAAGGAACTGTTTAACCTCTTCCTTTCTGAAATTCCACAACCACCGTACGGCATAGAGAACGTAATAAATGCAGATGATTGTACGATCATCCGCATTTATTACGGCATGTCATCCCATTATCGATGACATTTGTGAGAGGTTAAACTTCTACATACCTGATCTCGTAAATTTTTTCCATCTGAGGAACTTGAAAATATCCGCCTTAATATCGACAGTCACACTGTTCACCACATGGACGGCTGCAATAAAGCTCGTTCTGAATATCATGGTCGTTAGTGCACTAACTACCCCAAAATCTTGGGAGTAATGTTCGATAGCTTTATTTAAGTTGTTCGCGCAAACCACCGCTATTTGCGATAAGATGAGATGAGAAGCAGGAACAAGGTGCTTAAGTCGCAAGCCGGCAGCTTTTGGGGTGCTCATAAGAAGTCCTTGTTGACCTCCTATAAAGCCATAGGTCGGTTGGTGGTAAGCTATGTGGTTCGCAAATATAAACGATACGCAGTGGAAGAAGATACAAACCTGTCAGAATGCCGCCCTGAGAACTGTGACAGGGTGCTTCCTTATGACACCAGTGGACCATTTGCATGAGGAGGCAATGGTTTTACCTGTACATCGTCCGGATGTTGTCTATGCAGTACCTGCTTGGGTGTTATCGTCGGAATTATACATGCCATCATCTTATGGATAGAATTCCCCCACCCAGACATGTAAGGAGAAAACTACATGATTTATAGAGAGAGAGAGGACCAACGGTAAAAAAGAGAACCCCTAAATCTACAGGCTTATCGAGCAGAAATTACCAGCTTCACACGGAAGCAGTGACCCAGGCAATGGACCAATACTATGTGAATGCAATATCTTCCAGCAGCATGATATTAAACACATGCTCTGCGTATGGACTTGGACCTCACGATACCCTGAATCTCTTTAGTTTTCTCCAGAATCTCAAATGTCTCCAGAATCTCATATGTCTCCAGAATCCCATATGTCTCCAGAATCTCTTTGTACGAAGTCTATCTAGATTGTAACCTTCCTAAACCTGAAATAAAAACACTTCCAGCTATGTGAAGCAGTTTTCCAGTAGCCCGACATCAACATAGATTCCGTATAGCATACAGTAATACACAATTCATTCTACAAAAAATGTTATGACAAAATTCTATAACGTGGTACACAGCTCACGTTGGGCGCCATACGGTTATCTCAGCCTTTTCACGAATGTGGAGTAGTGTTACCGGTGACACACAGTCCACGTTGGGCGCCATACTGTTATCTCATCCTTTTCGCGACTTTGTGTAAGTAATGTTACTAGTAGGACGTCTCTATCTCTGTCAAATCCGATTATTTTTATACCCTACACAACTATGTTGTCAGGGTATTATAGCTTTGTGCAGCCCCAAAAGTTTGTAACGCCGCAAATTTTGGTCCTAGACCCACCTTTAAGTATACCGATCGTCATATCTCGACTAGCTGATTCGATCTAGACATGTGTGTCCGTCCGTCCGTCTGTCCATTATAATTTGTAAACACGATACACGCCACAGTTATGGACCAAACTTCAGGAAATTTTGCATGTAGGATGGGTTCTGGCCAATGAAGACCCCTATTGTTTTTGGTAAAGATCGGTTAATATTTAGGGGATGAAATGGACCAAAAACTTTATTTTTTTTAAATTTTCTGGTCGCTCCAGAGGGCGCAATTATGGCCTAAACTCCGCGAATTTTCACATGGAGAAGGGGGTCGGGCCAAAGAATAAGCATGCCCGTTTTTATAAGGATCGGTCAATATTTAGCGGGTCAAATGGACCCTGATTTTTGTGTGAAAAATTACAAAATTTGTATACTATGGCGTATATATTTACCCCTGAAGGACATAGACCCGAGAAGTTGATAGTATATCCAAGAGGAGTGGTTGACCTTTAAATTGATACCAATCATAGTATCGTAGGTACTCGGATGCGGGAGTTACACTGAAATATTTACAGGTGTTTACGTATTCATATATTATTTAGTAACCTATTACCACACTTTAGGGCGGATATATAGCCTGATCGCTTTGAAATGTTCCATGAGGTTCCAGTTATGGTCAAGGACAACGCCTAAAATGTTAGTTGATTATCAGATAATAATTTTTCGGATGAAGTGGACCGAAAACTTAATTATTAATTATTTTCGAGTCGAAAGCCGAACATCAAACACAACCTATGGTGAAAGGAATGTGGACAAGTAATTAGAGGGGCTGTACTGATTATTAGTAACATTTTCTGACCTCTAGCCAGTCAAAAGTGTGCAAATATCGCGAAATATTGCCCAATCTCAGAATATAGAACCACAGAAAGTTAAATTTTCATGGAAGTTGTATAGGGTATAATATGGTCGGTCCCGTCCGACTATACTGCTCCGCTCACTGGTTTTCCTTGGTAAATTTGAAAATGTTTGCCAGTTGTTTTGTGTGTGAGAACATAGACATAAAATTTTTGTTCTGTTCCAAAACCTCCAAAAAGCAAATAATTTGAAATTTAAATTTGAAAAGTTTCGCCAGTTGGAATAATTTTTGATAAAGACCACGTTGGCAACCCTATTATTCTATTACATCGCCTGACATGTCCATGATACAAAAAATAAGGTGATGTATCAAAACAAACACATTTGTTTTTACACAACCATCTGTCAAATTTATCAGTTATATTTCTAATTATTGGCAAAATTTCGCATCGAATTCAAGTAGACTACCATGGACATTCAGTTAGACTGAATAAGATGGAACGTTTTTAATTCAGTCTTGCAGTCATAGGTAGAAGGCGCGGCTTTGGCAACACTTTTTGACACCAAACAGCTGTTATTGCCAATCACTTTCAATTCAATGTCGACTTGCGTTAACCCTTATCGGCCATTCTCCCATTCCTCTTTCTCAACAAAACTCTTCTTGTTAAAAACTTATTCATAAATTTTCTCCATTTTACACTTTGTGTTCCTTCTTTAGCGGTCATTTCTTTTTCACCCTCATTTGAATAGCAGCTGGAACGTTTTTAATTTTAGTTTCAGCCTTACGTGGAGACGGGTAAATCATACGTGGAACTTGACAAAAAAATAATTTGTTTAATAAACAATGAAATATAAATAAAACAATAATAATTATAGTTAAATACACAATAAATTAATAACAATAAGGAAATAATTAATAAAATAAAGTTCCCAACAAAGGCATCAAAAACAGGACAAGAAAAAACAAGACTGCTGCCCTACAAATTGAATCGGAAAGCAGAAAAGAAAGCAAACTCAAACAAAACCGACAGATAGACAGACAGACATACCGACCAACAATAGATGACTAGTGTTTTGTGGTGGAACCTAGAGCAGCTGCTGATAAGTCAAAACCAATAATTAATTTAAACGAATCTGTTTCGAAAAAGGGGGTTAAGGTTAACAACTGTAAAACAACAACAACAATAGTGTTTATACACCACCAGATAAGACCAAACAACAAATGGCCCCAACAAGAAGACCCAGCGATGGGCTATTGGCCCGTGTCAATTTCCCCCTTTATGCCGTTGATATGCTGACCAGCCGTCATGTTTTGGTGGCTGGTGGCGGTGGAGCCAGTAAAACCGGTGTGGCCAATGGATTTGTGAGTACTATGCCCTTAAGTTATCAATATACCCTTTTAATATCTTCCTATTTTGCTTCCAGGAAATCTATGAAATCTATCATAATGGCCAACACTTCTGTGCCCAAGAGGTAATACGCCATGAGACGGGTTCCAATGTTGTTATGAATTTTGCCGTACGCAATGATGGCCGTCGTTCGTATCTGTGTGCCGGCCAAGAGTCCCATTGTCAAATGTATTTTGTCAATCCACGAGTGGTTAGTGAAGATGGCAAGGAAGAAATCTCGGTGACGCAAGAAACCACAAAAAATCCAGCAGATTCTCATATAAATGAAAATGGCGTACGGCAAAGGAGACCTGGAACATCAGGGGTGGAAGATGTGGCCAATGGTCATGTACCGGGTGGAGAGAAACAGTCGTCGCCAAAGCAAGATCAAAATGCCAATATCAAGAGGATATTGAAATTTGATATCAAGGCAGCAGATTCAGTACAAACAGATTTCCTGGGTAATGATCCACTGCAAAGGGTGGTGCGCATCTCACCCAATGGTCATATTATGGCAACGGGTGGCACCGATGGCCATTTGAGGGTATGGTCATTTCCACAAATGCTGAAAACCAGCGATATAGAGTAAGAAACTACCCAATATCCTTAAAAACAAAATTAAATTATTAAATTTTCTTCCCTTTCAGAGCCCACTCGAAAGAAATTGATGACATTGACATCTCACCCGATTCCAAGTATATCATCACAATCTCAAAAGACGGCCAAGGTTTGGTATGGGATGTGGCAACATCGAAAAAGGTATTCGACTTGAAATGGGCCACACCTGAGGGTGCAAAATATCTATTTAAACGCTGCCGTTATGGTACCATCGAGGCTCAACGTGATAAATATCGTCTATTTACCATAACAAATCCGTTGGGTAAAGTGGGAAAACAGCGAGGCTTTCTTCAACAATGGGATTGTACTAATGGTAAATTGCGGATAGCTGTTGGCATCGATGAAAGTTTGGCGTCTTTGGCCGTGAGAGATGATGGTCGTTTTGTTGCCGTGGGCACTATGTTTTCGGGGAGTATCTCCATGTATATTGCTTTTAGTTTGCAGGTGAGTCGAATAACCCTTAAAAAATAATTTTTAAAAAATCCAGACCTTGTTGTTGACCCTTGAAAATATTTTTTTTTTAATCCACGCCTTGTGTGGATGGTTTTAAAAAATACACGCCTTAGATGGCTTGTGACAGAACTTTCGTTCCAAAAAACCGAGCTTAAAAAAGTTTTCAAGGCGCGTCGGTCTTTTGCGCAGTTTTTCCAATTTGAAAGACCATATTCGGCAATGTTGTCTTTCACTGGATCTCTCCATCTTATTCTTGGTCTTCCCCTTCTCCGTGAACCATTAGCTGGTTCGCTTTTATATGCTTTCTGGGCTGGGGCATCTTCATCAATTCTCACAACATTTTGTGGATGTAGTGTGGATTTTTTAAAAAGCCATTGCTTGGCATCTATCATCCCCTAAGCCTTGAAAAAATATTAAAAAAAAATTTTAATCCTTATTAATAAATTTCCTTTCCCCTCTCTTCCAGCGTGTCCTACACATACCCAATGCTCACTCAATGTTTGTGACTGGCTTACAATTCTTGCCTGTAACCAATGAAGAGGGCCCACCCATATCTAGTGATACCGAGGCGGCCGTACTCTCTATATCGGTAGACAATAAAGTTTGCATACATAGCTTACAGCATAGACGTAAGTATAGATCTCATATTTAATTTGAATTTAATATTAATATCTCCCCTTGCTATTCCGCAGGTACAATGCCAGCTTGGTTAGCAATAATACTTATTGTATTGGTACTATTTGGCGCATTTACATTATGCTCATTTTTAGGACTGTAAAAAAATTACAAAAACAAAATATATATAGAAATAAGAATACGAAGACAAAATATAGCGAACATCATGGGCAGTGAAAGGAAAATATGAAACATATTTCAGTTCACTGCACTTGGTGCTCTTACAAAAATTAAATACCAATACCGAATCGAACCCCCGTCATAATACAGGTGATCGTTGGCAAGTAATCTAAAACTACAATAACAAAGCCATTATCCATTAAATCATTATCATGAATTTAAGGCATTTAATACTATAAACAATACCGGCAACAACAATAACATTCTTATGCGAAAAACAAAATATTTTTTTTAATTCAGCAAAACAAGGAAATACTAACGAAAAAAAAAATTGTCCTCATCATTTTCATATTTAAGAAAAAAAATGTTTGTTTTCGAAAACAAATTGGCAAGCAAACTAAATAACGACTACAATAATTGAAAAGAAATAGTTAAATTAAAAAATATATATATATATATATATATATAAATAAAATTTTTAGAAAACGAAATACTAACTCAACGCAACTAAAAATATAATTTATTAAAAAAATAATTGTTTAAAATTAAAATATTATAATAACACACCTACAACAACACACTTGCATATTACAAGTCAATTGTTTTCAAATATACAAACGTTAATACTTGTATATGAAAAAATAACCAATATTATTCTAAATTAATTTAAAAGAAAATATTTTGAAGATTCCTTTATCTCCTGATAGTTTCCCCCCTTTTCCTTTGTGCAAAAAATAAACATTCTATTTTATATAATAAATAAATATATTTAAAATCCACCTTTTTGTGAAAACTAAGTTTTAGTGCTTTAATAATTATATTTAAAAAAATATTGTATACAGAGAAAATATCTTAAGTTTAATTATTATTATAATGTAATAATGGTTTCATAATTTTGTTTATAAATATATATTTTTGTGTTCTTAAAACAATCATTGAAGTTAAAAAAATTTATATAAATTTAGTCTCTCTTAATCTCTTTCGATCTGTCTCTATATATATATATCTCCGCCTCGACTTTTAGAAAAGAAAAAAATAAAAATAGAAAAAATCACAATTAAAAATATTATAAAAAAGAAATGTAAAAAAAACATAAATTGTTTAAGATGGAATTTTTTAAATTGAAAAAATAGAAGAGAAGGTCCTCGCGTCTATTTCCCAACACAGTTGGCTTATATAAGGAATGCGAAAACTTCACATGAAGCCTGGAAAAAGCTGGAAGAGGACTATATGCTGAAGGGTCCGATTCAAAAAGTTTCTTTGTATAAGAAGTTGTTAAATTTGAAGATGGCCTCAAATGGTAATGTGGTGCAGCATTAAAACGTGTTCTCGGAAGTGTACGAGAAATTACATAAGGAGATTAAGGTGGAGCTTCTGACCATTATGCTCATGTCAAGCCTTCCTGACGAAGTTAATAATTTTATGATCGCAATGGAAACGCGCAATTATCTTCCTAGTTTGTCATCTCTAAGACAAAAACTGTTAGAGAGGGAAAGAGAAGACAAGAATTCTTCCAAACTTAGTTCAAGTTCGAAGATGGGGAATATCGGTCCACTCCATTTGGTACCTCCCATAGAAGGGCTAGGCCTAAATACGGGAAATAGTTTATTATCGAACTTTACGTTCTAGTTATTTATCTCGACATCCTCAGAAGGGGAAATGATTGCAATAGAGTCTTAGAACCAAACCCAAAACGCGGAACAAATTAGATAACTATTTTAATATAAAAAAGGGGGTTATATGGGGACTACCCAAAAAGGGGGCGAATATTACCATATACGACTATATAATACCGAATTGCAACGCATTCGGTAGAAAAACGTGCTCAAGAACCCCAAAATACCGAAAAATGGGGTTACCCTTATATGGGGGCTATTCAAAAAAATGGACATATATTCACAATTTTTTGTGGAGTGATTTGGTACCTACTAAGAACTCAAAATACTAAATTACAGCTAATTCGGTGGAAAAATGCGATCAAAACCCATAAAATACTGAAAATTAGGAAATATATGAGGGCTAACAGAAAAAGTGGACCTATATTTAAAATTTTTTGTGGAGACATTTAGTACACAATAGGAACCCAATGTACCAAATTTCATGTACTGGAGTTGCAAGAACTGCAAAATGCCGAAAATTGGGGGGTATGGGAGCTAGGCCTAAACTTCCTTCAGAAGATCAAGAATATATATACTTTATAGGGTCGGAAATGAATATTTCGATGAGTTACAAACGGAATGACAAAATTAATATACTATCCATACTATGGTGGGGGGTATAAGAAGAGGATGAAATAACCAATCAGAAATCATTCGTCGCAAAACCTGCGAATTCTAGAACGGACAAGAAGAAGCAAACCAACAAGAATTGTTTCAAAGGAAAATGTTTCAACTGTGATCTAACGGGACATTTTGCGAATAAGTGCGAGAAGAAAAGCAACAAAGAGCAAGTGATGACGATGTTGGCGGTAGCAGAGACAGAGGCGTTAGAAAGCGAGTAGTGGTACATTTACAGCGGCGCGACGTCTCATATGTGTAACAACACAACGAGAATTGCGCTTGCTGCTGGTGACAAATGCATCAATGCTATTGGTAAGGGTTATGTGCATGCATGCATGCCAACGATTTTCAAATTAGACTTGAAAACGTTTTGTACTCGCCGGAATTGCAAGCTAATTTTATGAACAATTCGGTGAACAAGACTGTTGACAAAGGTTTAACCGTTACTTTTGATTAGAAGAGAGCATCAGTGAAGAGACCAGATGGTGAAATTTTTTTGCAAGCGGACCGAACGGACAACATGTTTGTATTCAACGGCAAGCCGTGTGAGAAATTGTTCGTTATGGATAACAACAATTTGGTGTGGCACAATAGATACGGTCATTTTAACTTCAAGAGCCTAAATGATTTATCCAGAAACGGTATGGTAAATGGCATGTAAAGTTCATGTATTACCATTCCCTAACCAGTCTCAGACGATTTCCAAAGATTTATTGGAACTTGTCCACACAGATGTGTGCTGTCCTTTTAGAACACCCTAAGTTGGTGGATCCAAATACTTTGTAACATTTATCGACGACAAGTCCAGAAGGGTATTTGTTTATTTTATGCGGTCGATGTCGAAGGTATTTGAAAAATTTAAGGTGTTCAAAGCCCAAGTTGAGAAGCAGACAGACTGCAAGATAAAATCACTACGTTCAAGCAATGGTAGTAAATATATTAATTCAAGATTTGATATTTATCTTCATAAAGAAGGCATCACAAGGCAGTTCCTCATGCACCACAACAAAACGGGGTAGCCGAGAGGGCCAACCGGAGCCTTGTGAAAATGGCCAGATCCATGATGGTGTATGCAAATGTTAAAGCAGCTTTGTGGGCAGAGGCAATAAATACCGCCGTTTATATTAGAAATAGGTGTCCTACAAAGCAGCTGGAAAACAAAACGTATGAAGAATGGTGTGGAAGAGATGAGGAAATTGGTGCTGCACAGGATATGCCGAATAAGGTTGGTGCAGGTAGGCCTAAAATTATTATTAAGGGAAAGCCTGGTCGTCAACGAAAGCAATTTAATGAGGTCCTATGTCATGCTGTTGACGAAAATATTCCAAATACGGTGGAGCAGGCAATATCTGGTAATAATGGGGACAAATGGTTAAATGCAATGGAAGATGAATAACGTGCTTATTAAGGGAAAGCCTGGTCGTCCACGAAAGTAACTTAATGAGGTCCTAGGTCATGCTGTTGACGAAAATATTCCTAATACGGTGGAGCATGCTATATCTGGTAGTAATGGGGACAAATAGTTAAAGGCAATGGAAGATGAATAACGTGCTCTTGGCAAGAATAAGACTTGGTCGCTGATGGATCTTCCAAGAAGACAAAAAGCTATTCCATGTATGTATCGGTCTATGCCATAAAAAGGAATGTAAACGGTGAAATTGAGTGGTATAAGGCTCGCTTAGTAGCCAGAGGTAGTCACCAACGATTCGGAATTGATTTCAACAAGATATGTTCACCTGTCTCTTGCTACTCAACAATTCAAATTTTATTGGCACTGGCTGTGAGGGAAGGAATGTGTTTACATCAAATCGATGTCAGTACTGCATATTTCAACAGTGAACTCTATGATGAAGTATATATGCAGGAGCCACCGACTTTTGAGGTAAATAGTTCGCCGAACAAAGTTCTATGTCTCCATAAGGCTATTTATGGACTGAAACAAAGCGGACGGGAGATAAGACGAATTTTAAACCATGTGAAAACGAACCCTGTCTCTACAAAAGCATGAGGAGAAATATGCTAGTGTTGATCGCCGTTTACGTAGATGACATTATTATTGGGTGCAAAGACAAAATGGTTGTTTTGGATACATATCAAAAATAATTTGGCAAGTGAGTTCGATGTCAGCAATAAGGGACAGTTAAGCCACTTCCTGGGTATGGAGATCGAAAGAGAAGGTGAGGCGAGTATGATAAAATTGGGGCAAAGCCAATACATTCGTGATCTATTACAACATCAAGTACCATTGGAACCCGGATATAAGGTAAATTGTAATGATGATGACGAACGTGTAGATCAAACCGAGTATCAATCCCTCGTTGGAGCCTTTTTATATTTAGCCACGTCTACAAGACCTCAGAAAAATTAAACATATTCTGAAGTACTTTGCGCGATCGATCGACAAGAAAGTAATATATCAATCTAATGGAAGTAACCTGGAAGGTTACGTGGATGCGGACTGGGTGGTAACCCAGTAGACAGACCGGAAATCATATACCGGATTTATTTGTTCAAAAAACATTTTTTAAAACAGAAAAGCAAAAATATTTTTGTAGCACGATTTTTTTTTTAAATGTGGATTTTTTAAAAACAAATTTTTTTGCAAGTTGGCGTGAATTATAAAAAAATTTTTCAAAGATTTTTTTAAAAATATTTAAAATAAAATAAAATATTGCCGGGGATTTAAAAAAACATTTTTTAAAAAAGTTTTTGAAGTTCGGAACATTTTTTTAAATTATATTTTTGAAGACCGGAGATTTTTTTGAAAAAGTTTTAAAAGATGGGAAATTTGTTATATACTTTTTTAAAAAAATCTCCGGTCTTCAAAAATATAATTTAAAAAAATGTTCCGATCTTCAAAAACTTTTTTAAAAAATGTTTTTTTAAATCCCCGGGAATATTTTATTTTAAATATTTTTAAAAAAATCCCCGGCCTACTTGAAAAATTTTTTTATAATTCACGCCAACTTGCAAAAATATTTGTTTTTAAAAAATCCACATTTAAAAAAAATCGTGCTACTAAGAACGACTGATTTTTGCTTTCTGTGTTCCCACGATTAGGACATCCTCCCATTGAACAAATAAATCCGGTATATGATTTCCGGTCTGTCTACTGGGTTACCACCCAGTCCGCATCCACGTAACCTTCCAGGTTACTTCCATTAGATTGATATATTACTTTCTTGTCGATCGATCGCGCAAAGTACTTCAGAATATGTTTCATTTTTTGAGGTCTTGTAGACGTGGCTAAATATAAAAAGGCTCCAACGAGGGATTGATACTCGGTTTGATCTACACGTTCGTCATCATATTACAATTTACCTTATATCCGGGTTCCAATGGTACTTGATGTTGTAATAGAAAATGTATTGGCTTTGCCCCAATTTTATCATACTCGCCTCACCTTCTCTTTCGATCTCCATACCCAGGAAGTGGCTTAACTGTCCCTTATTGCTGACAATTGTTATATACTTTTTTTTGGGAAATTTGTTATATACTTTTTTAAAGACCGGGGATTTTTTTAAATATTGTTTTGAAGGCAGAAGATTTTTAAAAAAATATTTTTTGAAGATCGGGAAATTAAAAAAAATAAGACAAGGGATTTTAAAATGATTATTTAGAAAATTTTTTGAAGACTGGATGTTCAAGGCCGATGTCTACAATAGACCCCAAAATAATCGAGGATTTTTTAAAAATATTCTATTATTATTCTTTCATGGCTTCGTTTTTTAAAAATATTTTTTTAATAATGTTAAGGTAAGGGTAGCAAAGTTTTTTTAATAAAAATAAAAATTTTATCATTATTTTTTTATTATTTGATGTCAAATATACAGGTCAAATTTGTGTATAGTATATATATAATTTTTAGCAATGATTTAGAACTTAAAAAATTGTTCCAATATTACAAAAAAAAATATTCTAATAAATTCAAAAAACAGAAATAAGGAACGTATAATGAAAAAAGAAACTACCATTCAATTAGTTTTTTAAAATTTGAAAGAAAAAAACCTAAAAATAATTTGAGATACCGCGTGAAGTTAACACAGTGCCAATAACTTCTCAACATTCTCGATGTGAATACCATTCTCGGCTTGTGCCAAAAAACTATACAAAATCCGTTCAAACATTTTCTGTTTACGTTCGGCAATACGTAAACTTTTCAGTGCATCATCACGCTGCTGAGCCAATAGGGCATTTTCCAATTTTAATTGTTCCAATTTCTTGCGGGTAATATTTCGTATGGGTAGTATTGTTGAACGTTTGTGGATATTTGTTCGTGAGGCAGGATTGGGATATCCTGATGAGGAATCCATATTGTCCATGGTTATTAGGGAACTAACACCGCCCGCGATGGATTTAAGAGGTATTGATGCAATTAATTGACCGGCAGAATTGTTGGCCATGGTATTTTGACGATTTGTTGACATGTGTGTGGTATTGGAATATTGACGTATCGGTTGTTGTACTCTGTGGGAAACTTGTTGTTGGGATGGGGCCAATTGTTTTGGTTCCGGAGGTTTGGGTATTTTTTCCAGTACTTTGCGAATTACCTGGAACAAACGTAAAGAAATATTAAAAGAATTAGAATAAAAAAGGAGTAGATTTTTTAAGTAGCCACAAAAGGGTGGATTTTTTAGGGAGCAACATAGGTGTGGATTTTTTTCTTTTTCCAAATCTTACCAGGGTCTCATGCCAGGGATCAAATTGTTTTATTTTCGGTGATTTGATGCAGTGTATAAGGGGGAATAAACGCCACTCCGACTTCACTCCCGTCAGCTTTTGGCTCTCCAACTCAGCCCTGCAAAAAGAAGAAAATGTTAATTAAAGTCCCTAACCAATAACATACCCCTCCCTTTCTACCGCCCACAACTTACTTATATCGATTATTTAGGGTATTCAATTTCCTTCGACAATCCTGTCCCGTCACAAGCATCTCCTTTTGACGCATACCCACCATAATTTTACGATGTACCGGTAGGGCTTTATTAAACTCCGTAACCTCATCCTTATAGCGACGCCACAACTCTATGATATGCATCTCCTCATAGGAGTTCCAATACCTCTGCTTCTTATGATTGGTTATATTTTCTTCCTCTTCCATGTTATCTGGTGGTGGCGGTCTCCGTTTTGGTGGTGGTATTTGTACCCATTCAGATTGTCCACGATTTTCTTTGGCCCGAGAAGATGTCGGCTTTTCTTCGGACTTTGTTTCAGTGGGTTTTGTTAGGAAAATCTTTTTCGGTTCACCATCTGGTTGGACATCCATTTTCGGGCAGTGAAAATTTCGTCAGTTTCAAGAGGAGGATGTAAACAAAGTTGTTAATGGGGGTCCAAACAATTGCAATTCTTCAGATGACAGCGGTCGGTAATTGGTAACCCAATTTGAGGGTGAAAATGAAATTCACTGTGAACTGCGTGGCGCTTTGATGTGACCGGTAATTCATTACGAAATGACAGCACATAGTGTGGATAAGGTGGCGTTTTTTTACGCATTTGACGTGGATTTGTTAGACAGGTCTTTTCAATAAACAACAGAGGCGTGGATTTTATAAAGAAGACTTTTTCCAGGATCACATAAGGCGTGGATTTTGTAAAGAATACTTTTTCAAGGACCACATAACCGTGGATTTTGTAAAGAAGACTTTTTCAAGGACCACATAAGGCGTGGATTTTGTAAAGAAGACTTTTTCAAGGACCACATAAGGCGTGGATTTTGTAAAGAAGACTTTTTCAAGGACCACATAAGGCGTGGATTTTGTAAAGAAGACTTTTTCAAGGACCATATAAGGCGTGGATTTTATAAAGATGACTTTTTTAAGGACCACATAAGGCATGGATTTGATAAAGAAGACTGTTTCGAAGACCATATAAGGCGTGGATTTTAAAAAGATGACTTTTTCAAGGACCATATAAGGCGTGGATTTTATTTTATATAGAAGACTTTTTCAAGGACCACATACGGCGTGGATTTTATTTTATATAGAAGACTTTTTCAAGGACCACATACGGCGTGGATTTTATTTTATATAGAAGACTTTTTCAAGGACCACATACGGCGTGGATTTTATGTAGAAGACTTTTTCAAGGACCACATACGGCGTGGATTTTATGTAGAAGACTTTTTTAAGGCATCAGGGGCCTGAATTTTATAAAGAAGAACTTTTCTAAAGACATCAGGGGCCTGAATTTTATAAAGAAGAACTTTTCTAAAGACATCAGGGACCTGAATTTTATAAAGAAGGAATTTAAAGGCAGCAGGTATCAGAGACCTGACCTGAAAAATCCACGCTTCTCGTCTTACGAGAACCTCTAAATTTTTTTTTTTTAAAATCCACGCTTCTCGTCTTACGAGAACCTCTAAAAATTTTTTTAAAAATCCACGCTTCTCGTCTTACGAGAACCTCTAAATTTTTTTTTTAAAAATCCACGCTTCTCGTCTTACGAGAACCTCTAAAATTTTTTTTAAAAATCCACGCTTCTCGTCTTACGAGAACATCTAAAATTTTTTTTAAAAATCTACGCTTCTCGTCTTACGGGAACCTCTAAAAATTTTTTTAAAAATCCTAGCTTCTCGTCTTACGAGAACCTCTAAAATTTTTTTTAAAATTCCAAGCTTCTCATCTTACGAGAACCTCTAAAATTTTTTTTAAAAATCCACGCTCCTGTCTTTCGAGAACCTTTAAAAAATTATTTAAAAAATCCAAACTTCTCGTCTTACGAGAACCTCTGAAAAATTCTTTAAAAAATCCACGCTCCTCGTCTTACGAGAACCTCTACAAATTCTTAAAAAAATCCACGCTTCTCGTCTTAGGAGGGCCTCTATAAAATTCTTAAAAAATCCACCCTTCTCGTCTTACGAGATCCTCTAAAAATTCTTTATGAATTCCACGCTTCTTTTCTCACAAGACCCTCTCAAGACCTATAAGAAATCTATATATTATTAGCAATCCATGCTTTTGTTCTCCTTTAGGACCTTTAACAATTCCTGTAAAAATACAAGCATTTGGTCTTGCTCTCGAAATATCTCACTACTGTACTTACGAACCCCTCCAAAGATATCTATAAAAATTCTCACATTTTATTGTCCAATACCATCCACAAATATCTGTTAAAAATCCACTATAATTGTGTTCATAGTCTTTAAAAAATGTACTTACAAATTCCTCGACTATAAAGTGGATAGTCCCTAATAAATTTTCTTTAAAAAAAACCACACTTATACCTCCGACAACCCTTGAAATTATGAGATTAAATATCTTCTTCCCTGCAAAATAAAATCCCACACATTTCTGGCGTTTTTTTTTCTCTCGCCATTTTGCCACAAATTGGCAACTCTGCTAACAATCCCCTGTGAATGATTACACGAAAAGAAGAAGAAGACGGCTACGTGATTAGATTGCATACAAAAATTTGTCGGCGCTTTGAATTGCAAAATAAAAAAGTGTCCTGTTCCATATATACACAAAATATTGCAAAAAATATTGAAAACTCTGTATAAACAATTAGTAGAAATTAGGAAAATTATAAAATGACCGAAGTTAAAGCTGAAGAAACCGAAGTAAATGCCGATAATAAAAATACAGACGAGGAGAAGCCAAAGGAAGATACAGCCCCGCCAGCGACATCGGAACAAACAACAACAGCAGCAGCAGAAGACGACGACAAGCAGGATGAAGAAAGGCAACAAACTACACCAACACCACAACAGCAACAATCATCCTCTCAGGCTCCTGATAAGGAAGCCAAAGAAGATGGAGCCACATTAAATCCCCTCAATAACGATAATGATCATCATTCGGAAACTGAGACGAAGGGTAAAAATCGTCGCTATTGGACACCCAAGGAGGAAGACCGCTTCTTTCTAATATGGGGTAGAGAGAATTGGCGTCTCACCAAACATGGCAAAAACACCATATTCTTTGCCCAATGGGCTGAGGAAATGAAGGAGCGTTTCGATATCGATGTCAAACCGGAGGAGGTACAGTGTAAAGTCAATCAAACGAGGGCAAAATATAGGTATGTGTACATGTGTGTGGGGGATGTGTGTGAGTTGCAAGAAATATTTATGTTTGCGTATGGTTTTGTTTTGCAGGCAAGTGAAACGTCTACTGGAAACGGATAGAAATGCTGTTAAATGGAAGAAATACGATTTGGTTGAGAAAATATTGAAAAATCAATATCGTTCCAAAGATGATGAACCGGTGCCACAGGAAGCTTTGGAAAATAATCGTGATATGTCACCAACAGAATTGCTGAATAGTAATAGTGGCGGTACCCGACCTTCCTCACCAAATGTAACCAATTCGGAACAGAGTATTAATTTGAATCAGACACCGGGAGATAATCAACAATTGACTGAAGATGTAAGTAGAAGCGGGAAAACAATTAAAGGAGTAAAAATATGTAGGACAAGAGAAGAGACATCGGCAAAGTTATAAGCTTAGAATTTTTAGAGACACCAGCTGGGATTTAAAATAAGTTTGAAAGAAATTTTTTAGACGGTCTTGGAAGACAAAAAGCGTGGATTTTTAAAGAAATTCTGTAGAGGGTCTTGTAGGACAAGAATCATTGATTTTTAAAGAAATTCTTTAGAGGGACAAGAAGCGTGGATTTTTAAAGAAATTCTTTAGAGGGTCTTGTAGGACAAGAAGCGTGGATTTTTAAAGAAATTCTTTAGAGGGTCTTGTAGGAAAAGAAGAGTGGATTTTTTAAAGAAATCATTTAGAGGTTCTTGTAGGACAAGAAGCGTGTTTTTTTAAAGAAATTCTTTAGAGGGTCTTGTAGGACAAGAAGCGTGGATTTTTTATGAAATTCTTTAGATGGTCTTGTAGGACAAGAACCGTGGATTTTTAGAGAAATTCTTTAGACAGGACAAGAACAATATTTTTTAAAATATATATATTTGAAAAATATTTTTTTTTTTAAATCCACGCTTTTGAAAAATATTTTTTTTTAAAAATATTTTTTTTTAAATCCACGCATTTGAAAAATATATTTTTTTAATCCACGCCTTTGAAAAATATTTTTTTTTAAACCCACGTCTTTGAAAAATATTTTTTTAAAAATCCACGCCTTTGAAAAATATTTTTTTTAAATCCACGCCATTGAAAATTATTTTTTTTTTTAAAAAATCCACGCCTTTGAAAAATATTCTTTTAAAAAAATCCACGCCATTGAAAAATATTTTTTTTTTGCTTAAATCCACGCCTTGTTGACTATTTGAAAAAATATTCTTTAAAAAATACACGTCTTTTTTAATCCTTGAAAAATTATTTTTTTAAAAATCAAATTTTTTTAAGAAAATTTATTATTTTTATCTATCGTTTATTTTTTCTCTTTCCAGATCTCCCTTACCGAACAAAATCTCTCATCCCTAAATGTTTTCAGCAATAATTCAAACACCAGTTTTAGTACTGAACTTTTTGGTCTGGATCAAATCGAAATTAAAAAAGAAATTGAAAATGATTTAAAGACCGAGGGGTTTTCCGAATTCATACCAATAGATCCGCAAGAACTAACAACAACAGCAAATCCATCAACTGAAGGTGGAGTGGCATCGGCGGCAACATCACAAAATGCGTCAGCGGCAAATCAGCAAGTTCTTGGTGACTTAGCGGCCACCACCAATGGTACGGCTGCTACAGCTGTTGCGAACAATAATCGATCAGGAGCAGTATTGGCGAATCATACAAATGTAACTTTGGGTGCTACAAACAATGCCGTAGATGTAAATCATGCAAATAGTAATCATACAACATCGATGGAACCACCACGCAGATCATCGGTAACCTCAACATCAACACCACGTAAACGTAATCGTACAACATCATCCTCGGTGGCAGGAACAACTGGCGGTGGCGGCGGTGGGGCAACTTCGACAGCCCTTACACCAGCCTCCTCGGCGGCGGCCGCTGCTGCTCAAGATTCCCTGGAACATTTATATTTGGAAGAAATCAAGAAAAAGAATATCATACTCGTTGAACAGGGTGAAATTAATCGTAAACGTTTAAAACTGGAGGAGAGAAAAGTGAAACTAATGGAGGATTTCTTTCCCAAATATTTATCCTTGCAACAGGATATATTAAAGAAATTGGATAATTTAAATAGCAATACACCGGAATCGATTAATATACGAATAGAGGAGTAATTTGTGGGAGAGAGTATGTGAAGCAAGGTCGACAAATTTTTCAATAAAATTTCTTCTTAATTTTTTTGTTAAGTTTATACAAGAAAAAAGATAGGGAGAAGATATAGAAGAACAAGATTTTGAAAAAAAATCTGATTATTTCAAGTTGATTTCAATTTTGGCTAAGGAAAATCTTTCCGAATTTATTTATTTATAAAAGCCAAAATTTTTTTATAAAACTACAAATCTATTTTGTCGATTATGTTGTGTAGCGTAGTGGCAGATAGATTTGATCCCATACCCTATGTTAAAAGTAATTTATATTTTTTATGTCAATTTGAGGTTAGGTGTGTTAATCACAAAATGTTAACTGTCCCATCCAAATCAATTCTTTTATTTTAATAAAAAAACCTTATACAAATTTATGTAATCTAATTAAGTCCTATCCATTATATATTTGTATATTTTAATTATTTCTAAGGCGACCATTAAGGCGTAGACCATACATAAAAATATATATAAATAAAAATATAATATGATTTGTTTTAAATAAATAATAAATTAATTTTTAATGACTTCTAAAGTGGATTTTATAAAGAAGACTTTTGCCATAGACCATCTAAGGCGTGGATTTTATAAAGAAGACTTTTGCCATAGACCATCTAAGGCGTGGATTTTATAAAGAAGACTTTTGCCATAGACCATCTAAGGCGTGGATTTTATAAAGAAGATTTTTGCCATAGACCATCTAAGGCGTGGATTTTATAAAGAAGACTTTTGCCATAGACCATCTAAGGCGTGGATTTTATAAAGAAGACTTTTTCATAGACCATCTAAGGCGTGGATTTTATAAAGAAGACTTTTTCATAGACCATCTAAGGCGTGGATTTTATAAAGAAGACTTTTTCATAGACCATCTAAGGCGTGGATTTTATAAAGAAGACTTGGATTTTTGCCATAGACCATCTAAGGCGTGGATTTTATAAAGAAGACTTTTTCATAGACCATCTAAGGCGTGGATTTTATAAAGAAGACTTTTTCATAGACCATCTAAGGCGTGGATTTTATAAAGAAGACTTTTGCCATAGACCATCTAAGGCGTGGATTTTATAAAGAAGACTTTTGCCATAGACCATCTAAGGCGTGGATTTTATAAAGAAGACTTTTGCCATAGACCATCTAAGGCGTGGATTTTATAAAGAAGACTTTTGCCATAGACCATCTAAGGCGTGGATTTTATAAAGAAGACTTTTGCCATAGACCATCTAAGGCGTGGATTTTATAAAGAAGACTTTTTCATAGACCATCTAAGGCGTGGATTTTATAAAGAAGACTTTTGCCATAGACCATCTAAGGCGTGGATTTTATAAAGAAGACTTTTGCCATAGACCATCTAAGGCGTGGATTTTATAAAGAAGACTTTTGCCATAGACCATCTAAGGCGTGGATTTTATATTTTTTCCAAGAAGGCGTGGATTTTATAAAGAAGACTTTTTCCATGGACCATCTAAGGCGTGGATTTTATAAAGAAGACTTTTTCCATGGACCATCTAAGGCGTGGATTTTATAAAGAAGACTTTTTCCATGGACCTCCCAAGACGAAATCTACAGATAATAATAATTTCAATTCCGCCGATACATCGGGGTAAGTAATGAGTAATTAATAATAATTTTAAAAAATTAATATCATTGTTGATATTTTCAATTTCAGAAATTACAATGATGATGGTTTCTTATTTCCCGAGTATCATCTATCAACTGGAATGGATGATGCCTCATCATATGTAAGCTGGATTTTGAATCAATAAATTTGTTTGTATAAAAAAGAAAATTTCAATTTTTAGCACAGTGAAAGCTTCTATAAGGGTGCGGGTGATAGTAGTATGGATGGCACAGCTACTCCCGATTTAGCTGAAACAATGGAAATTAAACAGGAGCTAAATGATGAGGTTGATCCAATAGCTGACAATGGAGATAATGGAGAGGTGTATGATCCCAAACCACCGGAGTCTTATTCAAACAATGACAGCAATTACCCGAATTCTTCAATGTATAATCACAATAGACCTGCTACAACAGCAGACAATGGGGGCGAGTACGGTCAGAAACAATCTGGGCCTTACTCGGCCAATGATAATTATGCCAATCCAATGTATAATAACAATAGGGCAGCTACATCAACAGACAATGGAACATATGATCCAAACAAACAATCAGAGCCTTATACGGCCAATGACAATTACGCCCATCCAATGTATAATCACAGTAGGTCTAGTACAGCAACTACAACAACAGCTGTAGATAATGGGGATCATAATCGTAAACAATCTGAGGCTTATTCGGGTAATGATAGTTACACCCATCCAATGTATAACAACAGTAGATCTACTACAACAACACCAACAAATAGTGGGGGCCATAATCAGAAACAAACGGAGTCATACCCGGCTAATGACAGCTATGCCAACTCAATGTATAACAACAACAGTAGAACTGCCACAACAACTGACAATGGCGACGACTACGAACCCAAAGAAACAGAGACTTCTTATTCTAACAACGATGGTAGTTACCCCAATCCATTGTCTAACAACAATAAGACTACCACAACGAAAACTAGTACACCGGACAATCGGGAATATGATCCCAAACAATCGGAGTCTTACTCTAACAAGGATAACAGCTATCCCAATTCAATGTCTAGCAACAGTAGGGCTATCTCGGCAACAACAACAACTGATAAACCTATGGAGACTGCAAGGAAAATGTATGGAATGTCCCGTATGTCTTTAAAATGTTTTTAAGAAGTAAAAATGTTTTTCAATTTTTTTAGAGAATTCAAAAAGGATTTATACGCCCAATTACCCATAGAACCAACAACGGCGAAACAAGCGAGTCAAAATAACTTTCGGCATTCCAATGTATGTTTTAATCATAAAAAATTGAAAAATGTATTTTATCTTGGCTTGCTGCATTTTTCTTTCTTTTTTAGGTATCGAATAATCCTAAACCCGATTTATACAATCGAACTGAGCCTGCAGCCAAAAAACCATGTACCAATGCATCCTTCTCACATTCCAATGTAAGTTTCCTGTATAAAATTTTAAATATCTCCCTAATTTCGAATTCACTCTTTTAGAAATTGAATAATTCCAAAACGGAGGTATATCCACGAACAGATTTATCAGCGAAGCAATCAGGGATCAATACTCATTACAATACACATTATAATGTAAGTATTCATTACGACAAATTGAGAAGGTTGGGTAATTCTTTTGTATATATTTTTTCTGCCTTTTAGAAATTGACCAATCCAAAATTATCGACTCAACTATCAGGTGCCAATACAACTTCCCCGCATGGCAATGTAAGTTGCTGATATTAAATTGAAAATATTGTGTAATTATTTTTCCATTTTTTTCAGAAATCACTTAATCCCAAAACGGAGTTATACACTCGAGTACCGCAGCCAGTAACGAAACAATCACCGGTCAATACAGCAATCAGCACAAATTCCAATGTAAGCTTTTGTAATTAAATTAAGATATCTTCGTTTAATTCATTCCGTTTTTTTGTTTTCACTTCAGAAATCGATTAATCCCCCACAACCAGTACCAGATGCTAGGAAATTTAGTGAAAATACATATTTCCTAAATCATTTAGATTCCATACTAAATAAATTGCCCGTATATGCTTCGGAAAATTTACAAGGCAATATTATGGCAATGGCATATGCCGAATTGGCCAAACATCGCTCCAATCCGGCTGATAATCGTTGTAATAGCACATTTTTACACTTTAATTAATTTCTTGTATATATATTTTTTTCTATTCTATAACAAAACATTCTAAGCTAGAATTCAATATTAGATGTTTTAGAGATATAATTTATGTTTACACACACACCTTATACAGAATGAACTCAATTATTTGTTGCCAATTTGTATTAAAAAAATGAATTACAATCATAATAAACTGAATTGAATTAATAAAATGAAATGGAATAAATATTTGGCAATTAAACTAATTAACAAATGACTCAATTTAAACACACACACCCCCGTACATATGTTTGGTATGTTTAATGACCGACAGTGTTTGCATTTTAATATGACGGAAGAAATGTGCCCTGAGCTCTATAGAATGATTAAATTCGGATACTCTTCTTTATAAAATCCACGCCTTTGATGATCTATGGGAAAAAGTCTTCTTTATCGAATGTGGCCTTTGAAAAGGTCTTTATAAAATCCACACCGTATGTGGTCTTTGAAAAAGTCTTCTTTATAAAATCCACACCTTATGTGGTCTTTGAAAAAGTCTTCTTTATAAAATCCACACCTTATGTGGTCTTTGAAAAAGTCTTCTTTATAAAATCCACACCTTATGTGGTCTTTGAAAAAGTCTTCTTTATAAAATCCACACCTTATGTGGTCTATGGAAAAAGTCTTCTTTATAAAATCCACGCCTTGGATGGTCTATGGAAAAAGTCTTCTTTATAAAATCCACGCCTTGGATGGTCTATGGAAAAAGTCTTCTTTATAAAATCCACGCCTTGGATGGTCTATGGAAAAAGTCTTCTTTATAAAATGCACGCCTAAGATGGTCTATGGAAAAAGTCTTCTTTATAAAATGCACGCCTTATGTGGTCTATGGAAAAAGTCTTCTTTATAAAATGCACGCCTTATGTGGTCTTTGAAAAAGTCTTCTTTATAAAATCCACGCCTTATGTGGTCCTTTAAAAAGTCTTCTTTATAAAATCCACGCCTTATGTGGTCTATGAAAAAAGTCTTCTTTACAAAATCCACGCTTTATGTGGTCCTTAAAAAAGTCTTCTTTATAAAATCCAATGCCTTATGTGGTCCTTGAAAAAGTCTTCTTTATAAAATCCACAACCTGTGAAAATGTCTTCTTTGTAAAATCCCCACCTTAGATGGTCTATGGAAAAGTCTTCTTTATAAAATCCCCACCTTAGATGGTCTATGCAAAAGTCTTCTTTATAAAATCCCCACCTTAGATGGTCTATGCAAAAGTCTTCTTTATAAAATCCACGCCTTATGTGGTCTTTGAAAAAGCCTTCTTTATAAAATCCCCACCTTAGATGGTCTATGCAAAAGTCTTCTTTATAAAATCCCCACCTTAGATGGTCTATGCAAAAGTCTTCTTTATAAAATCCCCACCTTAGATGGTCTATGCAAAAGTCTTCTTTATAAAATCCACGCCTTATGTGGTCTTTGAAAAAGCCTTCTTTATAAAATCGACGCTTTATGTGATCTTTGAAAAAGCCTTCTTTATAAAATCCACGCCTTATGTGGTCCTTCAAAAAGTCTTCTTTATAAAATCCACGCCTTATGTGGTCTTTGAAAAAGCCTTCTTTATAAAATCCACGCCTTATGTGGTCCTTGAAAAAGTCTTGTTTATAAAATCCAAGCCTTATGTGGTCCTTGAAAAAGTCTTCTTTATAAAATCAAGGCGTGGAGTCTTGTTTATAAAATCCACGCCTTGAATGGCCTAGGGATAGAGTCTTGTTTATAAAATCCACGCCTTGAATGGCCTAGGGATAGAGTCTTGTTTATAAAATCCACGCCTTGAATGGCCTAGGGATAGAGTCTTGTTTATAAAATCCACGCCTTGAATGGCCTAGGGATAGAGTCTTGTTTATAAAATCCACGCCTTGAATGGCCTAGGGATAGAGTCTTGTTTATAAAATCCACGCCTTGAATGGCCTAGGGATAGAGTCTTGTTTATAAAATCCACGCCTTGAATGGCCTAGGGATAGAGTCTTGTTTATAAAATCCACGCCTTGAATGGCCTAGGGATAGAGTCTTGTTTATAAAATCCACGCCTTGAATGGCCTAGGGATAGAGTCTTGTTTATAAAATCCACGCCTTGAATGGCCTAGGGATAGAGTCTTCTTTATAAAATCCACGCCTGGAGAGGTCTTCTTTTTAAAATCAAGGCCTTATATGGTCCTTGAGAAAGTTTCAAGGCCTTATTTTTAATATCATGTCCTTCTATGGTCCTTGAAAAAGTCTACTTTTTAAAATCAAGGTCTTATATTGTCTCTGGAAGTCTTCTTTTTAAAATCAAGGCCTTATGTGGTCCGCGAAAAAGTCTTCTATATAAAATCCAAAAATCGAATAGTCTCCTTTTATTTTATTTAAAAACCATTTAAAACAAAAATTTCGTATAAGACATATTATTCCCATCCCTGGAGCTTCGAACCAACTGTTGTGATCGTATTGAAATATTCGAACATGGCAATGCCCGAACAACAACAATAAAAACAACACACCAACATTCTGCAGTTGTGAGTACGCCGTTAGCTATCCCATTGGGAGGTTGTTGCTGTTGGTTGTCGTTGATCAGAATTCAATTAGTCGACTCACTACTTTTCTGGCGGGTATTACTCCACACGATTTGAATAACGTCTGAACGTGCGTGCGTGTGTGTGTCTACGTTTGTTTTCATTATTGTTTTTGGAAACAAATTTCGGTCAATGTATTAACAATTTTTTTCAAGTGCAGTGATAAAAAATTCGTAACCAATATTAGAATACTTCCTAAGATCCTCCATCCACCCCGAAATCCAGCCATGCATTTACAAAAATTGCTGGCACTTTGTGCAATAATTTTCGCTTATCAATTTGTGCCGGCTTCAGGGGTGCCCTTGCCTGAAGATACCAAAAAGCCATGGACTCTTTTGGAGGCATTATCGGCCACAGGTTCAATACGTTCTTCGAATATAACCTGGATAACAGGTGAGTGACAAATGTACATATATTTTAATTTGTGTGTGTGTACATATGTTTGTGTCTTCTTTTAGTTATTCCATAGTCCAAAAAAAAAAAAAAAAAAAAACTCGAAGAAACTTAGGCCCACCCTCCGTGCGTGGCTCAAGTTGTAGGTGGGAAAAATACAAAATCGTATTTAACAACAAATAGACCTGCTGCCAGCTTTCTTTGTTATTGGCACATTATTGTTGTTGTTGTTTTTTGTGTGTGAAGTAAATCCATATTTGGTAAATTGTTATTCTGGCAAATATGGTTTTGAAAAAAGAATAGAAATTAATAAAACTGAAACACCTTTTAAGGAATTTGGAGATGGCGCAAATATTTTTTTTATTTATCGATCTCTTTGATTGTTAATGACCTGTTAATTGGTCTATGGCTTATATAAATTTTGTATAAAAACAACAACAATAATACACAATTTAAAAGAAATGGAGCAATATTGGGGAAATTTAATAAAGAAGACTTTTTCCAAAGACTTTCTAGGGAGTGGATTTTTATAAAGAAGAATTTTCCATAGACCAACTAAGGTGGGGATTTTAAAAAGAAGACTTTTTCAAGGACAACATAATGCGTGGATTTTTTAAAGAAGACTTTTTCATAGACCAGCTAAGGCGTGGATTTTATAAAGAAGATTTTTTCCATAGACCAGCTAAGGCGTGGATTTTATAAAGAAGACCTTTTCAAGGACCACATAAGGCGTGGATTTTATAATGAAGACTTTTTCAAGGACCATATAAGGCGTGGATTTTATAAAGAATACTTTTTCATAGACCATCTAAGGTGGGGATTTTATAAAGAAGACTTTTTCAAGAACCACATAAGGCGTGGATTTTATAAAGAAGACTTTTTCAAGAACCACATAAGGCGTGGATTTTATAAAGAAGATTTTTCAAGAGCGACATAAGGCGTGGATTTTATAAAGAAGACTTTTCAAGAGCGACATAAGGCGTGGAGTTTATAAAGAAGACTTTACAAGAGCGACATAAGGCGTGGATTTTATAAAGAAGACTTTTAGAGGGACCACATAAGGAGTGGATTTTATAAAGAAGACTTTTTCAGGGACCACATAAGGCGTGGATTTTATAAAGAAGACTTTTTCAGGGACCACATAAGGCGTGGATTTTATAAAGAAGACTTTTTCAGGGACCACATAAGGCGTGGATTTTATAAAGAAGACTTTTTCAGGGACCACATAAGGCGTGGATTTTATAAAGAAGACTTTTTCAGGGACCACATAAGGCGTGGATTTTATAAAGAAGACTTTTTCAGGGACCACATAAGGCGTGGATTTTATGAAGAAGACTTTTTCAGGGACCACATAAGGCGTGAATTTTATAAAGAAGACTTTTTCAGGGACCACATAAGGCGTGGATTTTATAAAGAAGACTTTTTCAGGGACCACATAAGGCGTGGATTTTATAAAGAAGACTTTTTCAGGGACCACATAAGGCGTGGATTTTATAAAGAAGACTTTTTCAGGGACCACATAAGGCGTGGATTTTTTAAAGAAGACTTTTTCAGGGACCACATAAGGCGTGGATTTTATAAAGAAGACTTTTTCAGGGACCACATAAGGCGTGGATTTTATAAAGAAGACTTTTTCAGGGACCACATAAGGCGTGGATTTTATAAAGAAGACTTTTTCAGGGACCACATAAGGCGTGGATTTTATAAAAAAGACTTTTCTAAGGACCACATAAGGCGTAGATTTTATAAAAAAGACTTTTCTAAGGACCACATAAGGCGTAGATTTTATAAAAAAGACTTTTCTAAGGACCACATAAGGCGTAGATTTTATAAAAAAGACTTTTCTAACGACCACATAATTTTATAAAGAAGATTTTTTCAAGGACCACATAAGGCGTGGATTTTATAAAGAAGACTTTTTCAAGGACTATATAAACCATGGATTTTATAAAGAAGATTTTTTCCATAGACCATCAATGTGATGATTTTGTAAAAAAAGACTTTTAAGGACTAGATTTTGTAAAAAAGACTTTTTTAAGGACCAGATTTTATAAAGAAGATTTTTTCAGATTTTATAAACAAAACTTTTTCAAGGACCACATAAGGCGTGGATTTTATAAAGAAGACTTTTTCAAGGACCACATAAGGCGTAGATTTTATAAAGAAGACTTTTTCAAGGACCACATAAGGCGTAGATTTTATAAAGAAGACTTTTTCAGGGACCACATAAGGCGTGGATTTTATAAAGGAAAAATTTTCACGGACCACATAAGGCGTGGATTTTGTAAAGAAGACTTTTTCAGTACACCATCTAAGGCGTGGATTTTGTAAAGAAGACTTTTTCAGTACACCATCTAAGGCGTCGATTAAAAAAAATACTTTTTCAGGGACCACATAAGGTATGGATTTTATAAATAAGACTTTTCCATAGACAAACTAAGGTGGGGGTTTTACAAAGAAGACTTTTTCCATAGACCTTCTAAAGTGGGGATTTTCTAAAGGAGACTTTTTCCATAGAGTGGATTATGGAAAGACGATATTTTTCAAAGTGTTTTCCTACTTTCTAAATGCTATTATAATGGGAAATTACATATCCGATTACTGTCATCCGATCATGTTACCACCTGGTAATTATTTCATTAAAGGGAAATGGCAGCGAACATTTTTCTTTGTTTCTAAATTCTAAATGCTATTATAATGGGAAATTACATATCCGATTACTGTCATCCGATCATGTTACCACCTGGTAATTATTTCATTAAAGGGAAATGGCAGCGAACATTTTTCTTTGTTCATAACTACACTTAACGAGGTGTGTAATTGGTATTAAGATAAGCTAAGGGACCTTTCTCCAGGGTAATTATCATCAAACCAAGCTTCAACTTTCTTTGGGTCGCAATGGAAGGAGTTAAATAACAACAACAACTTCAGATGATAATAATAAGAAAATCTCAATGTCTAAACCTAACCTAAACATTACAAAGCCTGCAATTAGGGCATGAAGAAGAAATGAATAGAGAGACGAGTATGCTTTACAAAACTGAGATATCAGATCCATCATTGGCGTATAAACGTAACACTTCTTCTTAACGTTATTTTAATTTGTTGTTGTTGTTTTCGCATTTTTGTTTTTTCCAAAGCAACAATTGTTACTCCATCTAAGCGTACCGGACAGAGCAATAACCGTGAAATAAATGGCAATAAATTATTGTTGGATTTGTAAAAAAACACACAAACAACTACAACAACATACTGACATTTATACGATACACATGTGAAGAAGACGACGACGTCGATGAGAGCAGTAAACAATTTAACGATAAGATTTTTGTATTGTATACTTTTTTTTTAATAATAGTTTATGTTCGAAATCGTAATCTCATTATATGGTCATTCAATTCATGTCATTAATAACTCAATTTTTGATTAGATTTTTCCACTTTTTTATATTAAGATAAGGAAGAGGAAAGAATGAAAGAAAATGGCAGAATGTTGGCAAAAAGAGGGAGGAGGAATGCATCCCAGACGTGGGTTTATTAAAGAAGATTTTTTTTTCAAGGGGCATCTAAGGCGTGGATTTATTAAAGAAGACTTTTTTCAAGGGTTTCAATAAGGCCAGGATTTATTATTTTTAAAAATCCGTTCCTGTAGACCTTGACAGAATTTTCTTTACAAAATTCCTTTATCGTTTGGCCTTTAATGTTTTTTTGGTTCGACCCACATAAATATTTATCTAACTAACCAACGCTTGTTTAATATGTATGTATGTATGTATGTTTGTCCGCACTTACACGCTGAATTAATCATCTTGTTGGCTATCTGCTCGCCTCCAATGACTGACCCTTCTTTATACACCGCTCAAATGTTGTTATCATAATTAAAAATATGTTTATGCTAATATTATATGTTTTTGGTTTTTAAATATGAAGACGAATTACATTTTTAATCGGATTTTGGATTAAATATTTCCTTACATATATCTCACGTAATGATTTTTATGTGTTGTTTTGATTTTAAATACCTTTGAAGGTCTTCGGTTTATTTATGTTATTAAGATGAAAAAATTAATATTATTATTTTTTTTTGATTTCAGATAATGAACTCTATTACACACACACCGACAGATCCATACACAAATTCAATGCCGCCACGGGTGAGGATAGCATCTTTGTAACCTCTGATTTTTTGGTAAGTGGGTGTGTGTTGGCCATAACCTTAAAATATTGATTTAAAATATTGTTCATTTCCTCTTTCTTTCCATGTCAAAATAGGAAATTTACAAAAGCGGTAGTTCGTTTAAATTATCTCCCGACAATACCAAAATTTTGGTACGTTATGATGTTGAGGAGATTTTCAGACATTCCTACATTGCCAAGTATGATGTGTTCGATATTGCAACGAGGTAGGAAGAAGAAGAAATAGATTTCCAAATAATATTCCAAAATCAATTTAATTTTCCTTCATCTCTCTTCTTTGCAGAACTTCCATAAGCATTCACAATGGTGAAAAGTTGCAATTTTGTGCCTGGTCACCGGTCAAGGATCGTTTGGGCTATGTCCACAACAATAATGTCTTTATACACTTCGATGATTCGATTGAGTTGCAAATCACTTCGGATGGTATAGATGGTGTTGTGTATAATGGTATACCCGATTGGGTATATGAAGAAGAAGTATTGGCCAGTGGCAGTGCTATGTGGTGGTCTGAAGATGGCAATTATTTGGCTGTGGGTTTATTCAATGATACCGAAGTTGAGACCTTTAAATATTCTCTCTACGGGGATGCCGGTGATCCAACCTATCAATATCCCAAAGAAATTGATTTGAAATATCCCAAACCGGGTAGCAACAACCCCGTTGTGTCCTTGCGCGTCTTCGATTTAAGTTCGAAGCCAACCTATGTCACCCTGAAGGCCCCAGTCGATATTGTCAGCAATGATCATATTTTACAAAATGTTGCCTGGACCAGAGATCGTAAAATGTTGATAACATGGTTGAATCGCCGCCAAAATATTGCCTCAATGCAGCTGTGTTCGACAACGGGTGAATGTGAAGAAGTCCAGCGATTGCAAGAACCTCAGGGATGGATAACAATGGGTAGTCCCCAGTGTTTGAAGCAAAGTGATAGCTGTATATTTACCTATTGGATTGGTAATTGGGTGCAAGTGTGGAATTTGGATTTGAAGAGCCGGACAAATTTGTGGACGAAGCGTGGTAATTTTACCGTGTTGAGGGTCTATGGTTACGATGAAGTCAACGATAAGCTGTGAGTATTAGGGCACCTTAAAACAACTGTAAATAGAAAAATTTGAGAGGCTTTAAGAGTGGATTTTTAAAAGAATTTTTAAAGGCCAAATAGGCGTGGATTTTTAAAAGAATAATGACCATTAAAGGCCCAATAGGCTTGGATTTTTTAAAGAATTTTTAATGGCCATTAAAGGCCCAATAGGCGTGGATTCTTAAACGAATTTTTAAAGGCCATTAAAGGCCCAATTGGCGTGGATTTTTAAAAGAATTTTTAGTGGCCATTAAAAGCCCAATAGGCGTGAATTTTTAAAAGAATTTTTAATGGCCATTAAAGCACAATAGGCTTGAATTTTTAAAAAAAAATTTTAATGGCCACCAAAGGCCCAATAGGCATGGATTTTTAAAAGAATTTTTAATGGCCATTAAAAGCCCAATAGGCGTGGATTTTTAAAAGAATTTTTAATGACCATTAAAAGCACAATAGGCGTTAATTTTAAAAGAATTTTTAATGGGTATTAAAAGCACAATAGGCGTGAATTTTTAAAAGAATTTGTAATGGCCATTAAAAGCACAAATGCGTTTGCCAATAGGCGTGGATTTTCAAAAGAATTTTTTATGGCCACCAAATGGCCCAATAGGCGTGGATTTTTAAAAGAATTTTTAATGGCCACCAAAGGCCCAATAGGCGTGAAAAAATATTTTTTAAAAATCTAAAATATTTTTTTCTATATTTCCAGTTACTACCAGGCCACCCTGAACTATGATCCCTCCATCTATCATGTGTTCAGCAATGATGATTGCCTGACTTGCGCCTTGAAGGATACCGATGGTGCTTTGTGTAAATCTGCCAGTGCTGCATTTAGCAAGGAATTTTCATATTACACCGTGACCTGTAGTGGTCCCAATCCCAGCTATACGAAAATTGTGGAAACCAAAACAAATACTGTGATCAAAGATTGGGAATTGAATTTGCCATTCCGTGAATTTTTAACCACCCGCCTTAGGCCACAAATTCGTTATATGAATGTCACCTTGGCTGATGGTTCGATGGGCTTTGTCAAGCTACAATTACCTCCCGGTTTGGATGAGAATGCCAACAAGAAATATCCCATGATTGTTTATGTTTATGGTGGTCCAAATTCCGTTAGAGTTACCAATGGCTTTGGTGTGGGCTTTGACGGATATATGACAACAAATCATGAAGTGATCTATGCCCAAATTGATGGCCGCGGTACAGGTAATAAGGGTAAGGATTTACTATTTTCCGTCAACAATCATTTGGGTGAATTTGAGGTGGACGATCAAATCTTTGTGACCAAATATTTACAATCCCTACCCTATGTTGATGCTGAACGTACGGGTATATGGGGTTGGAGTTATGGTGGTTATATGACGGCCCGTACTTTGGCCCATGACAGTGAGGGGGTCTATCAGTGTGGTATTTCGGTGGCACCGGTTACATCTTGGTTGTATTACGACACCATTTATACTGAACGTTTTATGGGCTTACCCACAGTGGAGGATAACCTGAAGAAATACTATGAGACAAGTGTCTTGGAGAATCTGGATAATTTCCGTAATCATAGCTATATGTTGGTCCATGGCTCGGGTGATGATAATGTGCACATCCAACATGCCATGGCGTTTGCTAAGGTATTGCAGGCCCATGATATTATGTTTGATGAGATGGTAAGTAAACCCCTTAGCAATTTGATTGAATATTTAAATAATTTCCCTTTATTTTTCACAGTTCTATACCGACGAAAACCATTCCATTGGCAATTTCTTGCCTCATCTGTATCACACCATGGAGAATTTCTGGATTAATTGCCTTAATTTGGATGTGGAGGATGATAATGAATTGTACTAAAACTGCCCTGAGAAGACTACTGAAATTTAGCTGCATTATTTGACTTAAATAATTAATTTCCTTACCTTGCCCCTTAGAGAAAATTTAGTATTTTTATAATTTAACTTCGTTTTTATTTTGTAAATTATTTTTGTGTTATTATATGTCAACATAATAACTGTAAAATTTTGTATTAAGTTCCAGAAAGTATTTTTTTGTAGTAGTAAAAACAAAATATTTAAATAAATATTGTTTCATTTATATAGAGTTTAAAAGTTATGTATAGGGCATTGCCTATGTAATATTTTAAACCAGTAAGGAAAGTAGTAAAGTCGGACGGGGCCGACTATATGATACCCTTCACCACTATGGGTATATTAAACAGGACTATTAAGATGAAATTGGATGAAATAAAATATGTGATATTTATCTAAATGTGAATCTACCTAAATCTATCCATAAAGTATGTAAATCGACTTCAAACAAATATAAATAGGTCATCCGTTGGGCTATGTCTGTACTTCTACAAAACGCAACTACGTAATTCTATGCTCAATTTTGTAAGTTGTACAAAATTTGATTTCAATCTGACTAACATGAGGAGTTTGATGCCCAATTTACTTGAAATCGGGCGAAAATATATATGGAAGCTCTATCGAAATATTAGGCGATTTCAAACAAACTTGTCACAGGTTAGGTTATACTAATTTCAGAAAGTTTTGTTCCTATCAGCCTATTGGTTCCTTGGTGCATCAATTACTTAAAATCAATCTATAATAAAAGGAAGCTCTATCTAAATCTGGACCGATTTTCACGAAACAAGACAGACATCACTCTAGGCTCAATTCAGTACGTTATGCCAAATTTCGTGCAAATCGAAGGATATATAGGGACTTTGGTGCACCATTTACCTAAAATCGGGCGAAACTATATATGGGAGCTATATCTAAATCAGGACAGATTTTCACGAAACTTGGCAGACATCATTCTAGGCTCAATTCAGTACGTTATGCCAAATGTCGTGCAAATCGAAAGATATATAGGGACTTTGGTGCATCATTTACATGAAATCGGACGAAACTATATATGGAAGCTATATCTAAATCTGGACCGATTTTCTCGGAACTTGGAAGACATCACTCTACGCTTAATTCAGAACGATTTCGTGCAAATCGAAAGATATATAGGGACTTTGGGGCACCATTTAAATGAAATCGGACGAAACTATATATGGGAGGTATATCTAAATCTGAACCGATTTTATCAAAACTTTGCAGACATTACTCTAGGCTCAATTCAGTACGTTATGCCAAATTTCGTGCAAATCGAAAGATATATAGGGACTTTGGGGCACCATTTAAATGAAATCGGACGAAACTATATATGGGAGGTATATCTAAATCTGAACCGATTTTATCAAAACTTGGCAGACATCATTCTAGGCTCAATTCAGTACGTTATGCCAAATTTCGTGCAAATCGAAAGATATATAGGGACTTTGGCGCACCATTTACATGAAATCGGACGAAAGTATATATGGGAGCTATATAGAAATCTGGACCGATTTTCTTGAAACTTGGCAGACATCACTCTAGGCTCACTTCAGTACGTTATGCCAAATTTCGTGCAAATCGAAGGATATATAGGGACTTTGGTGCACCATTTACCTAAAATCGGGAGAAACTATATATGGAAGCTATATCTAAATCACGACCGATTTTCACGAAACTTGGCAGACATCATTCTAGGCTCAATTCAGTACGTTATGCCAAATTTCGTGCAAATCGAAAGATATATAGGGACTTTGGGGCACCATTTACATGAAATCGGACGAAACTATATATGGGAGCTATATCTAAATCTGAACCGATTTTCTCGAAACTTGGCAGACATCACTCTAGGCTTAATTCATTACGTTATGCCAAATTTCGTGCAAATCGAAAGATATATAGGGACTTTGGGGCACAATTTACATGAAATCGGACGAAACTATATATGGGAGCTATATCTAAATCTGAACCGATTTTCTCGAAACTTGGCAGACATCACTCTAGGCTTAATTCATTACGTTATGCCAAATTTCGTGCAAATCGAATGATATATAGGGACTTTGGTGCACCATTTACATGAAATCGGACGAAACTATATATGGGAGCTATATCTAAATCTGGACCGATTTTCACGAAACTTGGCAGACATCATTCTAGACCTAAATGATTAGGCTGTACCAAGTTTCGTGCAAATCGAAAGATATATAGGGACCGTTTACATTAAATCGGTTAAATATATATATGGGAGCTATATCTAAATCTGAACCGATTTTTCCCAATTTCAATAGGGTTCGTCCTTGGGCCAAATAAGTGACTTGTGCCAAATTTCATCCAATTCGGATCATAAATGCGACCTGTACTTTGTTTACAATTTAACATGGACAGACAGACGGACAGACGGACAGACGGACAGACGGACGGACGGACGGACGGACATGCATAAATCGACTCAGAAAGTGATTCTATGCATATTCTCAAAAGGAACCATGGGTCTATCTCGATTATTTTTGCCTGTTACAAACATATGCACAAAGACATAATACCCTGTACCACAGTGTGGTGAAGGGTATAAAAAGAAATACTGGGTTTTATAAGGTTGTTGTCTTGGCTAAGCAAAAACAGAATTGTCACCCAAGAAGAAGATGTGTTTATTTGTCATTAAAAGATTGTTAAAAAAACCACACTCGGTAGCTCTTTAAAAATCTTTTAAAATTTGTTAAAAAAATCACCTCCTAATTTATTTGTAGACTTGTTGAAATATTCTTTAAACAATCGTCTCCTAATTTCTTTGAAAAGCCGTTTAAATATTTTTAAAAAAATTGCCTCCTAAATTCCTTTAAAAACCCTTTAAATGTTTTTAAAAATCCACGCCTTGTTGCCCTTTAGTGACCCTTTAAATTTCTTTAAAAACGCACGCCTTGTTGCCCTTTAGTGGCCCTTTAGATTTCTTTAAAAACGCACGCCTTGTTGCCCTTTAGTGACCCTTTAAATTTCTTTAAAAACGCACGCCTTGTTGCCCTTTAGTGAGCTTTTAAATTTCTTTAATCTCGCACCTTGTTGACGTATTAAATTTGCACCCTATTTGCCTCAGGGAGTCTTTGAAATTTTCCTTAAAAAATCCACGCCTATTGATCTCTGGAAGTCTTTGAAATTTTCCTTTAAAAATCCACGCCTATTGTCCTCTGGGAGTCTTTGAAATTTTCCTTTAAAAATCCACGCCTATTGTCCTCTGGGAGTCTTTGAAATTTTCCTTTAAAAATCCACGCCTATTGGCCTTTTGGAGCCCCCGAAAATATACTTAACAATTTCCCCAAAAAATCTTTAAAAATGTCTTCTATTTTTTCATCAACCAAAAAAATCAATTAAATGCCATTTCTTGTTGATGAATAAGGATATTTGTTATCCTTGCATTGTTGTTACATACAATCCTTGCCATTCATATAATCCTGATGGAAATCACCAATATCTTGAATAATATTTAAAACAATACACATAAGGCTTATAAAACAAAACTGCAACCAAACCCCTATAAACAAGCGATTATGTGATCCTTCATAGAAATCAAGGATATAAAAAGAATTGTATCCTTTATCAACATGACTTGTGTGACAAGGTCTAAGATGTGAATATAAATCCACCCATTCAATATATATTGAATTCGAATACAAATATGATGTGGCCTACCGCTTGGTTATATCGCAGTATCCTTAAACTTGACTTATGATGACATCCTTTTCACTTTTCCATTCTTTTATATCCTGATGTTATGGATGCTTTTATTTATTTCTGTTCTTTTTTACTTTCTTCTTTTTATTCGATTCATAGAAACTTGATAAGTTTTCAGTTTCATTGGAAAGTCATATGCCATTGCATCCTGTTTGGAGAAAAAAGGATGTGGAGGATGGCCGTTCAGACCACTTGAAAACAAATGTCAATGATTTGTTTAAAAAGAGAAATGTTAGTAGTCATTCAGAGGCAGTAAATAAAACCTAGAGGGGCTTAGATGTGATAAATTTAAGATAATAGTTTTTAAGGCCTAACCAAGGCGTGGATTTATTAAAGAAGACTTTTTTCAAGGCCTAACCAAGGCGTGGATTTATTAAAGAAGACTTTTTTCAAGGCCTAAACAAGGCGGGGATTTATTAAAGAAGACTTTTTTCAAGGCCTAACCAAGGCGTGGATTTATTAAAGAAGACTTTTTTCAAGGCCTATCCAAGGCGTGGATTTATTAAAGAAGACTTTTTTCAAGGCCTAACCAAGACTTTTTTCAAGGCCTACCCAAGGCGTGGATTTATTAAAGAAGACTTTTTTCAAGGCCTAACCAAGGCGTGGATTTATTACGATCTAGCCATGTCCGTCCGTCCGTCTGTTGTAATAACGCTATCTTCTGAAGGAATTGAGATAAGGTGCTGAAATTTGGCATAGGTTTGTCTTTTGTCTGCAGGCAGGTCAAGTTCGAAGATGGGCTTTATCGGTCCACGTTTTGGCATAGCTCCCGTATAAGGGTACCCCCAAATATTCGGTATTTTGGGGTTCTTGAGCGCGTTTTTCAACCGAATTCGCTGAAATTTGCTACATTGGGTTCTTATTGGTTACTAAATGTCTCCACAAAAAATTATAAATATAGGTCCACTTTTTCTGGTAGCCCCCACATAATGGTTCCTGCTAATTTGCAGTATTTTTGGGGTTTTTGATTGTATTTTTCCGCCGAATTAGCTGTAATTTAGTATTTTGAGTTCGTAATAGGTACCAAATCTCTCCACAAAAAATTGTGAATATAGGTCAATTTTTTTATATTTCTCCCCTTTTTGGGGTAGTCCCCATATAAACCGCCTTTTTATATTAAAAAAGTTATCTAATTTTTTCCGCGTTTTGAGTTTGGTTCTAAGACTCTGTTGTAATCATTTCACCTGCGGAGGATAGCGAGATAAAAAATTAGAACGTATGGTTGGATAATGAACTATAGCCGCA